TCTGATTAATCCTCAGGGAACCTTGGCAAGGCCATTGCTATCCCATGGTCATGGGAGAAACCGAGGCACAGGAAGGTCAACTGGCAAGTGGCAGAGCTTCCAAACACTGGCCCAGCAAGTCTTCCCGTGGAAGCCTGGGGGCCACCTCAGTGCAACAGGAAGATCTGAGAGGCAGAGTGGGGAGAGGTGGCATCAAAGCCCCCAGCCTTTATTCAAATGCACATTCTCTGCCTATTTCATTTTTACTCAATTTTCTTACTGGCAAACCCGCCCTATTTTGCAGATACGCGAAAAGAAGCATTAAAGCATTATGGATTGAAGGTAGTAGTAATACCACCAATAGTCACTCTTAGGCAAATGTGCAAAGCGCTTGTTCATAGCAGGTCCTAATTTCACTGAATCTCCCCAAACACCTGCGGGGGAGGGGAGAAATTCTCACCTTACAGGTGGGGAAACCAAGGCTCCCAGAGAAAAGGCAGGTGCCCCAAAGCCAGGCAGACAAAGCAGAAGACTGGATGCAAGGGCATACGATGGGTGCGGCCAGAAACAGGTTTCAGCCTATTTCTGCTCTGGGACGGTTCTCACATGAAGGCAGGCTTAAGCCCCAGGGCGTCTCCCCCTTTTGCCCCTTCCCTTCCCGACATTCCTCCTTCAAACTTTCCCGCAGCACCCAGTGAGCACCAGGGCCCCCATAGGCCCATCCTGGGAAGATGTCATCTACAGATCTGCTCCCTCCAGGATACAAGGGACCCCAAAAGTAGGCAGGCTTCCTCCAGTGTGCGACAGGAAGCAGAAGGCATTAGGGCACCAAGTCTCCAAAAACACAGACAGGAAGATGATAACTCAAAATGTTGGGGTTCCCGGGGGGTGATGGGGACCAGGCAGGTCCCTACAGCTCCCAAGCATGTCCTGGCCAGGGGCAGCAGGTGGTCAGGAGATACAGCCCCCTTACCTGCATTGGCCAGCTCAGCTGCCACTGTGTCCTTGGGATGGGCCAGAGCTGCAGAGCAGGCTTTGGGGAGCAGGGACCCGGGCAGGGGACTGTGTTTGGGGGAACCCTGCATCTACAGTTTCCTTCCTCGATCCCAGTGCCTGGTGGCGGCAGGCCCATTTCCCTGTTTTAGGGTCCACACTGTCTCCCAGTGAGAGTGGGGAATTTGGCACTGCTGGCTCCATGGCCCTAAGACTGGGTCCTAATTGCCACAGGTTTTCTTTGAAGCCTGGTAGAATGTGTCTAAGGAGGTCACCCACACAGGTGGCAAGGGCTTATCTAGTGTCTGGGAGCTGTCATGTCACCACTGGGAAACACATTCCCACAGCCCTGATGCACAGCAGCCCCTACAAACCTGGTTGGCCAGAGATGGGGTCCATGAAGATCTCTGCCCTGGGGAAGAAAGACTGGGGTCCAGCACCAGGCCAAGACCCCAAATCTGTGATGCCCAACCTTGGTACTGTCCCCCTAAATGTGGCCTAAAGTCACAACGGGCTGGGTGGGTTACAAATCTGACCCCTGAGACGGGCCTGTTGAGCGGAGCCTTGGGCCTCTCCCAGGCGGCTGCTTGAATGACACAGGCCTTCTCCAGAGCTGACAGCCATGCTGGCCATGAACTCACATCCAAACAGAAAATCCACTCCTGAAAGCTGATATCATCCCAGGAAGAGCAATTGTGCCTGGGACTAGAAGGGGCTTTTCTAGTCTATCAGAGCAGGGCTGCATCATGTATGCTATTTATTTCCCCTTTCTCTCTGAAAAGGCATTCTGTTCAGCCGAGATCGAGATCGGAGGCAACACGCTCTGTTCTGGGTGAGGAAATAAAAAATGAGGAACTTACCCGATAGCCCATCCCTGGGATGGGCCGCTCTCAGTGAAAACAGGGCTTGTGCAAATGCCTCCTTGGACTTGTGGTAAGGTGGGGCCAAGGCCAGCCTTGTAAAAAATGTCATCAGCCTGGAGCTCCCAAAAAACCCTCCATATCCAGAAGACCAGGGCTACCCCCAGGACCCCTCCCAGAGGCCCTGATGCCCAAGGTGTCCACCTTGGCCACCTCTTCGGAGTGTAACTGGAGGAGACAGAGACCTCATGACTCACAGGGCCCTTGAGTGCCTGAGTATGCTCCTAGAGGGGAAGCCACCAGCCCGGCCTCCAGAGAGGGGAGGAGGCCCAGGGAGGCGCAGGGACAAAGTACAGGGCATCTCATCTTCATGCCCTCAACTCATGGCCTTCCTAGGACAGTGGTAGCCGTCCTTTCTCTCCCTGAAGCTTCATGAGCTCAGAGATAGGAAAGCCCCACTCCATGGGGCTTTTCATGCCAGGCCAGGCCCCCAGGAGTTAATATGCAGAAGCCCCACCAAGTCCAAACAAAACTGCAGAACATCCAGCCCTCGGGAACCTGGCAAGGCCTGAGCAAACCCAGAGCAGCCAAGGGGCGACCTCACTAGCCCTGTCAGCAAGCTGGATGTGGGGGTTCCTCGATTTAGGGTGTCAGTGGGAGAGCTCAGAGGGCCATATGGGCCTGGACAGCCCTTGGCTGGATATAGAATGGGCTGGGCCATGCGGGTAGCAGGCTGTGAAGGTCAATGGCATCCATGAGCCTGGCTTTCAGCAGCGCCCCACATACCCCACCTTGCTCCGGAGGCTTGGCATATCCTGGATGGTACCAATCCTCATAAATCTGGGCAGCTCTTCCCAAACACTACTCTTGCCAGGCCCTGGATGTGGCTCCCCAGCACAGGGCGAGGGACGTGCTGTGGATTGCAGCCATGTAGGCGGCTGGGTGGGCAAGGGTTTGGAGTGGGTGCCCAGCTACTCAGCCTACCCCGTTAAAATTGCAGAGGCAGCTGCCTCATGTATCTGGGTTCTTCTGAGAAGCACACTCTTTTCACTTCACCCCCAATCCAGAGAAGCCACTGAACCAGCCGCGTGTGTCAGGGAGGGCCAGCCAGGAGGTAAGATTGCCCCTCATTGCTGTCGCTCCCCACAATTGTTTCTCCCCTAGAAACACTTTCCGCCAACCAGACAACCCTGCCTGGCTCCTGCAAGGCAGCTTTTATCGTGCTCCCAGCCTGGCCCTGTGCCAGTGCCCGAAAAATGCCGTCAGCCACCCAGAAACCAGCTCTGAAATTTGCCTGGGAGGAAACCACGGCCCCAGAATCTGGCCCATCTGGACCCATCTGGCCTACTGAAGAGATCGCCCGCCAGGGAAGGAAGCTGAATCTCAGGCTTCCTAAAAGTTTCTGAAATATGTCATGTTCAAATTCAGACACGGCAAGGGAGGATAGTGTGGCCACCTCCCTGGGACGGAGCTGTCTCCGCCCTCAGTGGGGACCTAGGTGGGCCCAGGGGCTCCGATTTTGTCCATGTCTTCTGAGGCTCAAAGCTCCACCCCTGCCTTGGACAAGCTCCTCTGAAGCAGGATACAGGACCTTAGAGTCCCACATCTCCCAGGCTTAGAGAAAGCAACACAGAAAACGCAGCCCGGGAAGATAGAAAGCCTTTTTTTTTTTAATTTTATCAAATCGATCTGTACAAAAGTTAGCGTTGCTTGGTCAGAAAGTAGTGAAACACAGCAGGTAAGTGACAGCAAAAGTCCAAACTCAACAGCGAAAAATAGATTGCATAAAAATGAGTTTGCTGTAGTTCCCCACCCCCACCCCCAGAAAGAGATATGCAAAAGAAAAAAAAAGAAAAAAAAAAAGACTTTTTTCTAGAAAAGGTAGGAAAAAGTAGAAAAAGTAAAAAGAAGCAACTTCTCCGATGTATTTAAATTTACAAAGTTTAAAGGCACAAGTTTCCATGAAGTGGGTGGTTATCATAGCTCAGCATACAGCGGAAGCAGTACAGGTAAATCAGGTGTTATTTGTCTAAAATGAAGAATCTAAAAACGTTTAGTGGAGGTTTTAGTTTCACAGCTTGTAGGTGGCATCTGGTTCCTAAGAGCCAAGATTCATGCGTTTCTGAAGCCACCACATCCCAAGAAATTCCCGTCTCTGTCACTTGGCACAGTTGTGGGCAGGGATGAAATTGAATGGCACCCCTGCCTTTTAAACCTCAACTTAATACCTGGTGCCAGGGATAACCCAACCTGATCTAAGATACTACAAGGCAAATCACTTCTCCCTTAAGGTCCTTTCTGCCTCCCAGGGACCTGGAGTTCAGGCCCTCCCCAGCCCCTCCCAGCAGCAGGGCTCCAAAATGGCCCAGAGCAGGAGCCCCAATGCCATCTGCCCTCCTGGCCCAAGCCCACAGCTCCCAGGCTTCCATTTTATCTTAAATTCTACTCTCTGCACAAATTACTTCATTAGTTAAAGACAAAATAATACAGGACATAAATACACTTTAACAGCTTTCAAAACAAATCAAACACATTTAAGCTTCAAAAATAAAATTTTTAAAATAAAATAAAAAGAGAAGTGTTAATCACAGCCAAACCTTTCTCAAAAGAATGCTAACTACAAGAAACACCTCAGATCTAATGAGCTGGTCCCAAGAGGTGTTTCTGCAGATGCATCCCCATCAGGCTGCGAATGCGCCCTCTCCCTGCGGGAATGTCATCCATTGGTCCTGGGAGTTGTTCTGAGGCTGGCCAGGACTTCAGAACACAGGTGACCTGGAGACCCTGTGCCTCTTCCCCACTTTTGTACTTTGTACTGTGCTGTCATTTTGCATCCACTGAGATGCAAAACCAAGGCACTGGTGTCTGCACAGAAGACACCAAAGACCGTCCTTCATTTCGAAGTTGCCAGTCACCGCAAAGAGAGAGAGAGGAGGAAAAGAGGGCTTTGTCCGCTGACGGAAGTTTGAAGATCCGGAAGCAAAGGGGCTCGGTTACAAGCATGGTTTCCCGCACACGTCGGCAGGCACTTGACGGAGCAGGCATACATGGCTGCCTCTTCTCCCCTTGCTGGCCAACACCTCCCAGGAGACCTGAGAGGCTCTGTCTTTGACAAGATAAAGGTTGTCCTCCGCCCACACCGGCCCACTCCATGTGGCCACAGCGCCCTCAGGGTCTGGTCAGAGTGGTGTACACAGGCTGGTCCCAGTTACTGGGGGGGCTGTGGGCGGGCGGCACCGAGAGGCCACTGAGCAAGGGTGAAGTGTAGGGCCGGCGGGATGAGTGGAAGTAAGGATACTGGTACAGGCTGGATGGGTAGCTGGCATATGGACTGTAGTAGTTGGGGGCCTGCAGGTCAGTGTAGTCGCACTGGGAGCTGGTAAAGGAGCTGGCAGCCGCAGCAGGGGCAGCGGTGGTGACACTGGCCTGGGCACTGTAGGAGCTATAGTCGGTGCGGCCCGGAGAGCCATGCGACTGGTCACCGTAGTGGCCAGGGCTCAGCTGCTCTGTCTTGATGTGTGGCCGAGGGGGACCTGCTTCGGGCGATGCAGAGGCTGATGGAGCTCCCTTGTGGGCCCATACGGGGGATGCCCCGATGCTCACCGTCCCGGAGTGTGAGTAAGAGGCACCCCCGTAGGAGCCAGCGGCAGCAGGCTGGCCTGGCTCTGTGGGCAGGGCTGAGTGACCATTGAGGGGCAGGTATTGGTCAAACTCGTGAACGTCGAAGGTGTCCATGTTGCCGATGACCTCGCTGCTCAGCTCTGAGATGTCCACGTTGCTGAAGTCGATGTTCTGGCGCCCACTGTCCACCAGGCGGCGGCCTTCCAGCTTGAGCTCCTGCTTGCCCCCGAGGTGCAGGTCTGTCTTGGGGGTGGTAGGCGGGGTGGGCGGCCCATGGGTTTGCCCTAGAGACGGAGAACATTTCAGGGATGAATGCTCCTTCTGTGGGGGGCGAGGTGGGGCTGGCAGGGCTGGCAAGCTGGTGACATACACATGAGAGGAAAACCAGCCTGCTAACTGCCGCAGGTAGGAATCAACAGCTTTTTGTTCCTGTACATTTCCCAGAAATTCCAGCAAAGCCAGACCCAAACCTCACTCCTTGGCTGAGAAAATTCCGTTAAGCACTGTTCTACTGGAAGACGTGAGGCCAAGGAGGCCCCACCATGAAAGCCACGGTAGGGTAAGGAGAGAGAACCACATTTAGGAAGCATTCACAAACACCCAACCCCATGCACAGGACAGCAACACAATTCACACAAAACCTGTTCTCCCCAAGGCTCATGGCTTTAGCCAGCTTGACCGCTTGGGGGCCAGGACTGCGCCATGGTAGTCTGAACCTGAATGTGGGCTGCTGACCACCATGACAGCAGCAGGAGTGAGTCCTGGGTCAGAACTAGCAAAAAAGGCCAGGGAGGCAGAGATGCCTTCAGGCAAGACAGAAAATCCCAGGTCACGGGGTGCCAGGTAGGCAAAGCTGTGCGACCGGCTAAGTTCAGAGGGGCTAAGCAAAGTACCCCACCCCTCCTAACACAGTGTATATCAGAGTGGCTGCCACTGGGGTTTTTTTTCCAAATACCGGATGCCCGTGGATGCCTGCCCTGGGAGTGAGCCCCTGTTCCCAGCCCCACTGCTCATCTCCGCCATGGCGAGGACTCCTCTTCTCCCACTGGGGATTCTCAGACACTGGGAGCCCCAGGAGCCCACCTGTGTGGTCGCCGTGGTGGTGAGCCTCGCTGAGGCTTGTGTCGGTCTTGTACACAGGACCACCTGGGTGGTGGCCCAGTTCGGCGCCTGAGTCGGAGTCGCTCTGGAAAAAAAACTCCGACGCGGGTACTTGTAATCTGGGTGGTCCTTCTTATGCTGAACCCGCAGCCGCTCTGCTTCCTCCACGAAGGGGCGCTTCTCGCTCTCACTCAGCAATCTGCAGAACCAAAGGCACAAGCAGGATGGCGAGAGCATCCAGGCCAGCAGTGGTGTCCTTGTTCCCTAGGGAACTGGACAGTGCCCCAAGTGAGGTGCAAGGAGGGGACCAGAATGACCCTGACCAGAGAGGCCTGCATGCACTGACACCTCTGTGGGCACCAGACAGCGCTCCCCGTTTCTCAGCCATGGTGGCTGGTTCATAAGCTCCATGTGCTCATTAGGGTCAAAGAAGGAGCCAGAACAAGACCCAAACCTTGTCTCCATCTTCCTCCTCTGACACCCCCTGCCCCACTCAGCCTGTGTCTGTCCCCTCCCTTCTAAGGCAGGCGGGGGACGAGTGCAGGATCCAGCTGAGAATACACTACGGATTCCTGAGAATCAAGCCGGAATCAAGCCCGGAGTCCGCCGGCAGCTGGACTTCCCAGACCTCCAGAAACACTGGCAAAAACCAGTGGTCCTCACTGAGGTTCAGAACACACACCAGCCCCTCAGACACTTCCAGAAACTCACTTCTAACGGACAGGATATTGGGGCCCAGAGGCTCAAATCCACGGCGCTCCAACCAGACAGAATTAGCACAGAAGACGTACACGTAAGCTACCAGGGCCCCCTTACGAGGTAAAGAGCAGGAAACAGGGCACCAGTGCTGGGAACCCGAAAGCCATCCATTTTAAACCCAGGTAGAGAGCGATTGGTGGGGAGGGCTGTCCTGAGCGGCAACTTTGTCATTGCTGCTGTCCAACTTTCTGCAAAACCACCAGTTTCCCCATACCAAAGTGTGCAGCTGTGGGGAAGGTGCCAGCGGGGCAGACAGGCACCCCTCCCTCTGCACTTTCCAAGGAGAGGCACCTCCAGACAGCGGCATGCTGCCCGCCTGCTTGTCCTGCTCCCAAACAGAGGCCACCTTTCCTGAGGAAAGGGATAATCTTCCAGGCTCTGGGGCCACTTACAGCTGGGGCCCCCAACTCGGCATGCCAGCCACTGCCTTCAGCAAACTGCTACCCTCCAAGCTCCAGGACTGTGGCAGGGGTGGCACATTCTTCCCACTGCCCTCTGAGGGCCCAGACCCTGGAGTACCCCGCATCTGGTCCCTGCTAGCCAGAAGGTGTTTTTCCACTAAGACTCACCCTGGGAACAGCCACTGGGAGCAGGGCCGAGGCCGGGCGCAGCGCCACCTCCCCGAGCCCCCACGCGCCCCACAACTCACTCGCAGCTCCCGCCCCCTGCCTGGGGACACTCACCGCCACAGCTTGCCCAACGTCTTGCTAAGCTCGGCGTTGTGCAGGTGCGGGTACTGGTCAGCTAGCTTACGGCGCGCCGCCTGCGCCCACACCATGAAGGCATTCATGGGCCGCTTCACGTGCGGCTTGGCCTTGAGTGCGCCGCCGCCGCCACCTCGCACCGGCATGGGCACCAGACTCCAGTCGTAGCCCTTGAGCACCTGCGACACAGCGTCGCGGATGCAGGCCGGGAAGCGCTCGTCCGCCGCCTCGGCCGCGTCGCCCCGGCCACCGCCCCCCGTGCCTGCCGCGCGGCCAAGGCCCTCGGAACCCGAGGGCGACGGCGGCGCATCCGAGTCCGAGTCTTCCACGTGCGACATGGAGCTGGCAGTGCCGGACGGGCTGCAGGGCGGCTGGGCGCGGGTCTCGCTCATGTCCAGCATCGGGGCTGTACGCGGAGGGGCGCGCACTGGGGATGCGCACCGGGTCCGATGCCCGGCTGCGCCGCGGCCGCTCTGGGACCCGAGGTCACCGCGCGGTGGCCCGACCTGTGTCCCCGCCGCCGCCACCCCTCCTACCGCCACCGCCGCGACTGCCGAAGCTCCGTCCCAGCGGAGGA